CTTCACATTTTCTAGCCTTCTATTTTGCTGCCTTAGATGACCACCCTTCTGTTGCCTGCAGGGTAATAGAAATCCTGTATTTCAGAACCTGTTGTAGCTAATCCCCATTCAGCAGGTAAACGTGCCTCCTCTCTTCTAAAACAAACCACTACCTCTGGATTTCTGTTGAAACTTCCCCAAAGTGAGTAGACCCTGTAAGTCCTCCGTCAAAGTCAAACTAAGTCCCAACTTTCCCAAGATAAATCTCTCCTAAATAGAGCATTTCCTCACCTATAGTCAGAGAAGGATATACCTCCCCCATCAGAATCCAGTACAAAATCTCTCCCTTGTTCTTCAAGGTCCTCTGTGAAATTTCACAGTTTACTCGTACCTCCTTCTGCTCTCCAGCCTATTCTCCATGCTTCTCTGATACCATACTTCTTTCTTTCTGTTCCACATACCCATCATCTTGAACTTCAGGTATAACCATGGGCAAATCACTTAATCTCTCTGTTCCTCCATTTCTCTATTTGTAAAATGGTGATAACAATACTTATCTTGTTTCATTAGTGCTTATACAGTCACTGGATGGGAGATACTATAGAAATGAAGAGTATTATACTCTTATGGACATATAAAGTATTTACTATTTGATAACTATATTTCTGAAAAATCAGCAAAGCTATTTAAATTATTCATCCCCTTTCTGATTCCACAGTCAGTATTTTCTTCTTAATTATACCCAGAATGGTGAAGAGCATTATTATTTTCTTCTTTCCCATGTTAACTGAGTAATGATCTTCCAGAAGTACATTTGCAAAGGAATCAAACAGAAATACATTTGGCATTCACATGAGCAAATGCATTTGAAAGCTCAGCATTATTTATAACTTAGAATAAATGCATATCATGACTGGACACCTGCAATAGTGCCATATATCTCCCTGAACCTGTGTGCATATCCCCTTGATTTTATTAAGAGATGTGCACATGGATTACAGGCAGGATTAAGCTCTGAAATTGCTGCTGAAAATGATAAAATTATCTATATAGATCGGCCTGCAAGAGCAGTAGTATCAAAATAACTCACATTTGTTTATGAATATATTTTTCCAACTCCCCTGCAAGATAGGAGATATTATTAACCCTATTTTACATATGGGAACTGAGGCACAGAGAAATTGAGGTATGTTCAAAGTCATACACAGGAAATCTATAGCAGAGTTGGGAACTGAACCCAGATCCCTCAGTCCCACTCCAGAGCCTTAGCCGTAAAACTTCTTTCCACCTGTCATTAGGGTAAACGTACACAGACTAGGGTAAACGTACACAGACTAGCTATTAATTTAATTAAAGCTGTATACTGATCATTCAGGTGACTTCTAACACTTCAAAACTCTGAAAAACGTTTATGCGTGTTCAGTGGTGGCATAATGTCCTGCATTCTTTATTAAACGTAGACCTTGTCTACACTAGAACTTACTTCGGTATAACTTACGTCACTCAGGGCTGTGAATAATCCACACCCCTGAGCAATGTAAGTTATACCAACCTAAGCAATGGTGTAGATAGGAGAGCTTCTCCTGTTGACATAGGTATAGCCTCTCGTGGGAGGTGGCATAATTAAGCCGAAGGGCGAGCTTGCTCCTGTCAGCTTAGAGCATCTTCACCAGAAGCGCTATGGCAGTGCAGCTGCATTGGAGCAGCTGCGCTGCTATAGTGCTTCTAGTGTAGATGCAGCCTTAGTAACTAATTCTTTCCAGTTTGGGCTTACAATGAAAACATTTCAGCATCTTAAATAGGCTATGTTACAAGGACACCAATGCTTGCTGTAAATTCATTGTAGAGATAGTGGGCCAAAAGTAGCTCTTGGTTATACCCATATAAACTCATTTTAGTAGGGTTGCACAGATGTATCTGAGGGCACAATTTGGCCCCAAATGTTTAAAGATGTTGCATGTCATTCAGCTGCAATTCTGCAGTCAGTAGGGACCTGCCTTACCTAAATCATCTGTGAAATAATGAGTTAGTACCCTGCTGGGAGGCCTCTTTCATAATTCTTGTTTCAGCTGGAAATTCTTTGAAGAGATGATTGAACCATATCGCCTCCATGAAAGCTGCAAAGATTTAACAACTGCTGAGAAATTAAAAAGAGAGACTCCATGGAAAATTACAGATGCAGAGCTGGAAGCATTCAAGGAGAAGGTAAATCTTTGCCTAACTTTATTATATATTGCTGGCTAGCTAGCTAAAGAAACTAGGGAACAAATCTGAAATATCAGCTAAGAATTTGATATATATGTTAACTATGTGTCAGCATTTGATTTTTTAAGAATTGGGTTTGTATTGTACATATCATAAGAAAAGTTATTTTTCCTTTGTACAAAGATCTGGAAAAGACTATCTAGAGTACTCAGTGTGGCTTTAAACGTTTACTTCTGCAGCTATACACTCATTCAGGGAAGGCCAAGAGCAGGATTGCTACATGAAGCAAAAGAATGGAGGTTTTTAGCTACGAGGGCAGGCTGAAGAGAGGAGGCCTATATATTTAGAGGAGAGGAAAGAACTTATTGAAGTATTTAGAGAAGGACCTAAGCTGGAACTTTAGATCTAAACACCCCTAAACTTGGGAAACTTTGTTATCCAAATCCAGACTTTGTGGCTTGGGCTCTTATTTATTAACATAAGACCAAAATGATTGAATAAAAACCTATTTGAACCAATAAGCAATATGAAACTGCAGGGCCACTCATAGAAATAAGAACAGCAACAACAAAGTTTAGGTTTACTGCATGAAGTGTTTTCCCCCCTCATCCTCAGGGGTTAATCAAAAGTTGAAATTCTCTGACCAAGATTAGAACCAGGATTAAAATCAGAGAGGAAAATAATAGTAGTTATTCAGATACAAGTAGCACTTTAAGGTATCATACATGGGATTAAATGCTTAACTAAATTATGGTGATTCTTATTCATTATACACAGGATTAAATTGAGGGCAAGATTTCAAATTGAGATGGAATATTCCTTAAAAGCAGATTGATATGAACCATAGTTTATTTATTTTTCCTTTCTCTAGAGAATTGGACAGGTGTATTAGGATGAGGAGGATATATCAAACTCCTTGAAGGTGAAATTCACACCTGTACAGATGTCCCAACTTAAAACCTATTAGGAGTTAGGCACCAATTGACATTAGTCTTCCCTGTTCTTTTCTTCTCTATTATGTGTGTTGTGTTTTGGAAGCCTTTGGAAACTCAGTCTGACTTTGATATAATCCTGGTTGAACCTAAGTATAGCATTCATGAATGCAAGTGGTTATAATCCATAAAAATACATGAAACAACTATAATATTTTTACTTTTTATATATTATGATCAGTGCCCTAGAAAGTTTTAGTAAAATGAATAACCTCCACTAGGTTGCAAGGTGGCTTATTTATTTATATAATAATTTTTCACACAATGCACAGTCAACCTGTGGAACTCCTTGCCAGAGGATGTTCTGAAGGCCAAGATTATAACAGGGTTCAAAAAAGAACTAGATAAGTTCATCAAGGATAGGTCCAGCAATGGCTATTAGCCAGGATGGGCAGGGATGGTGTCCCTAGCCTCTGTTTGCCCGAAGTTGGGAATGGGCAACAAGGAATGGATCTGTTCTGTTCATTCCCTCTGGGGCACTTAGCATTGGCTACTGTCGGAAGACAGGATACTGGGCTAGATGGATTTTTGGTCTGACCCAGTATGGCCGTTCTTAAGTTCTTATATGTTCTTATTTTTATACCCATTAAGATGGCACCTGACAAATTAAATGTAGAAACAAATTAAACTGCAACTACAGACAGCAGTTTCCCCAAACAGCCATAATAAGTAATCTACTGCCATAATCCAAAATCAAAGAAATATATGACAGCCATAATCCATAGTCAAATATTTGACCAAAATAACCCGTGGCTTCTCTGGTATGTTACCACTGTGACATACAAGGATACAATCCAGACTAATGAGCACCTGTGTCTCCCCTGCCCTGCAACCCTGGATGCCTTGCTGAAGGAGTTCCCACCTGGGCTGCTCACAAACAGCCTGCCAGCATGCAAGCCACACCCTGAGTGTCTGTGTGCAACTGCAGCCTGTCATCCACAGTTGGGTTACTCTCTGACTCTCCCCAGCCTTGGTTATACTTCAGGGTGACTCCAACACCCCCCCAGTCTTAGATTCCCCCCATATGTCCTATATTGTCCAGCCGCCTCCTGGAGAATACAAGTTATATTAAGTCTGTTATTTCTTTAATAGAAATAATATGCACACAACTTGCCACCCCAATGGAGTTTCCCAGATACTTCAATTTAAACACAATGGATTAGATAAAACAATAAAATAAGTTCATTAACTACAAAGAGATACATTTTAAGTGAATGCAAGTAATGAGGCATAAACATCAGAACTGGTTACAAGAGAAATAAAGATAAAACACTACTGGTGCCTAATTTAACAAACTATTTTAAATTCAAAGCAAAATTTTCTCACCACATGCTTTCAGCAGTTGTACTGACCAAGCATCTTAAATCAGGATCCCTTCTCTCAGAGTCCACCAAAGGCTTCCTCTGTTGCTTCAGGTGCAGTGAATGTGATGGGCAGGGAGAGAGAGAGGTGTTCCTTGGGGCATTTGTCCCTCCTATTTATAGTTTCAGTCCCCTTCTTGAAAAACATTTCCAGCTGGGTAACAGTAACAAAAAGTCTATGTGGAAGGATGTTCCCTGCTTTTTCCTCATTTGATTGAGCTTCTTTTGTTTCCCTTCCTGCTTGATGACTCTATTTACTGCTTAAATGCAAATTAAGCAGAGCACCCATTCCTTTGTTTAAGATAGACCTGTTTGCCAACCTCAGTTTGGAACATGTGTTGATAACACCATACAGTGGAATCTTATAATTTCACATGCAATGTTGCCACACATATTTTATCAGGATGATACTGATCAGCAAATGATGAGTTTTTGAAAGATACCTTAGAAGGCATACTTTGTACAAAGATTATTACAATAGTGTGTGAATACAGGGGGTACATTCTGTCTCAAACACAGAGTAATTTCCACACTCAGGAAACTGTATTGTCTAATGGAATCTGATTTTTCCCCCCAGAGTTACCGTCAGGTCCGTTTGAATGAACTCTTACAGGAACACTCTAGGGCTGCTAATCTCATTGTCCTGTAAGTTGCACAATTTTAACTCAGAAAATGAGTAAGTTAACCTGTATATAGGCTTTTTTTTTTTTTGGATACAAGCAACAGAAAGATGTATGTTAATTCACTCAGAGTGAAATTCACTTCTGTCCAGAGGTCCAGCACAAGGGCTATGTATCATTTAAGTCCCTTTTAAGCTTATTTTGAGGACTTTTGTGGGACTTAAGCAGCGCACAAGCCTCATGCTGGTTCTCCAGACAAAGCTGAAGCTCACTCTTAGTTAACAGTTCCTTGCATCTTAAAATGAGGTTCTACTCTGAAAAAGAATTATATGAAAATGGCATCTTCCTACCCAACAAATTTACTCTCTGCATATGCATAGTTGTATCTGCTTACTATCGTGGCAAAAATAATTCTTCTTACTATTGTTAACATTGCGAAGTCAACTGATATCAGAGAGAGAGAATTCTTCTTTTGGTTTATGCATCATAACCAGAATTGTTAGCTAGGTTCAAATTGCAGGACCAATCTGTTTTTCCCAGGGAAAACCCAGTGAGGACAATGGAATTTACTCCTGAGGGCATTCTGCTCCTAAAAATTAAAAATTCTGAGCACAATATTTTAAAATTCTGCAAATTTTATTTGCCAAATAAATATGGAGGCTCCAGAATGGCATTGGGGAGCACTGGCCACTGGCTGCTCAGAGGTGGGAAATCACTGTGCAGCTCCCCCACCCCAGACACGGACTCAGTGGTGAGGCTGCACCCAACCCTGACACAGAGCAAGGACTGGGCCTGCCCCAGAAACACCCCTCCTCCATGCCAGGTGTACCAGGCGTGGGCAGGGAGGCTCAGCAAGGCAGGATCCAAGTGTGGAGGGGCTTAGTGTGGGGGGATTCAGGTGTGGGTTGAGAGGGTTCTGTGTGGGGCAATCTGGGTGTGGGCAGCTCACTGGGGGATCTGGGTGGGGGGGATCTGGGTGCACATGGGGCTTCTTGTGGGGTTCTGGGTGCAATGATAATGGGACTCTGCAGAGAGGTCCAGGTGAAGGTGGTTGGAGCTCAGTAGGGGGGGTCTGGATGTGGGAGGGGGGGTAGAACTTGGCAGGGGTCTGGGTGTGGAGGGCACGGTGGGGGGGTCCAGATGCTGGGGAATGGGACTCAGTGGGGTGGGGATCCAGGTGCGGCTGATTGGGGCTCAGTGGGGTGGGGATCTGGGTGCGGGTGGCTTGTCGGGGTGGTCCTAGGTGCAAGGGGGAGTGGGGCTCATCATGGGGGGTTCTGAGTGCGGGGGGGAGGTGAGGATCGGCGAGAGGGTCTGGGTATGAGGGGGTTCTGGATGTACAGGGGTTGGGTGGATGGGGGAGCAGCTCCCTGTACAGGGATCCTTCCCCTGCAGCTGAAGAGTGATGGGTACAGGAGGCAGGAGTGGCGGGAGAGTTTGCAGAGCTTCCTGCAGCTAGGGGAGAAATCTTGGGGTGGGTCTGACCCAGCCCCAGATGCTGTGCAAGGGAAGAGGAAGTCCTGTCCTCTCCAGCCCAGCCAGGACTAGCAGCTGATCCCGGTGCAGGATAGGGAGCCAGGTCTTCCCCAGTCCCGCCCCCTGCACCACAGTGATTTACCTTTCTGCCGCTCTTGTGGCTTCCCCGTCAGAAGGTCATATTTCTGCGGGGAAGCAAAGAAATCTGCAGGGGACATAAATTTTGCACGTGTGCACTGGCACAGAATTCCCCCAGAGAAGGAATTGCCAAGGTTTTACTTGGGGTATAATTTGGATTGAAGAATCTTTAGGTGAGGATCTAAGAATCAGAAATATGTACTTTTAGGGTCCAGATTGATGATTGTGCAGGCATGGCAATTAGAAAAAATGCTTACTTGTGAACTTGACAAATAGAATAACCAATACACATGGAACCACGAAGCTATTTTTAAGGGAGCCACTTTTTAGAGCAGAACCACACTTTAAGTGCTTGAATAAGCTTCAGTTACTGTTTTGTTTTGATAAGCCTCTGTGAGTCTGCTACTAAAACAATCTCCTGGAGGCACAAACTGCATTTGCAGTATACAGGTATATGGAAAATTACTCTGTACTGTAACAACCCAGATCTCTCAGGAATAAACTATCATAAAATAATTTAGAGCAGACCTTGATTGATACAAAGCAGATGGAATGTATGACTTATCAGTTTTATATTTTTTCTCCTCTGATTCTTATCAAGCTAGACATATAACTAATTTGTGATTTCTATTACCCCAATCCTGCAAACACTTAACTTTATATGCTTAACTTTACTATCATGAGCATTGATTTCATTGGGATTACACACATTAGTAAAACTAAATACATATGTAAGTGATTCAGGATCAGGGCCTAAGAGAAACCCCATATATTATAAGATTAACATTTTGAATGTTCATGCTTAGGCTGTATGGTTGTTTTAAGTAGATTGGTTATAGTTTTCTACTCAAGACAGTATTTATTGAAAAGCATATTATCAGGGTTACCCTATATTTATAAAATGTTTATATAATGTTACTCCTCTTTTTACTTCAACAGGAGCTTGCCAGTGGCAAGAAAAGGAGTAGTGTCTGATCATCTGTATATGGCTTGGTTAGAAATTCTCTCAAAGAACCTGCCTCCAATCTTACTGGTCAGGGGCAACCACAAAAATGTACTAACTTTTTACTCCTAGAAAAATATAAATACCTAGAATACAGTATGTTTGATTTCAACACAGGTATTTTTAAAGATGAAGCCATACTAAAGAGACACTATTGAATAGTTTAGACACAGAATTTTACTTATTGATGGAGAATGTCCTCCAAATCATAAATATCCTGTTTTAAAAAAACAACTATGTGCCACATATCTGTCACCAAAAATTTGAAAAGCTACTATTTATATAGAATCTAAAATGATTTGGGCTTTGTTACTGAAGAGACAATTAACAGGAGGGGCAGAAATTATTTAAACAAACACTACTTTCAGAACTGTGCTGACATCGCTGCTGATTCCTATACATGAAGAATGACAATAACATCAACCCATATTGACAATATCTCTGACGTTTCACTGCATTTGACTAAAAATGATAATTTAATGTAATATAGATATATACCTTAAAATAGTCTGTTTAAGCTGCCTTTCCCAATTATATCATTTCTCAAATTACTGACTATATAAAAATGTACTACGTCCAACACATATGCTGTCTCTTTGAATGTATGCATCTATCTTAGACACCTACCAAATATATTTGCCAGTTACTCATAAGACATTATTTGCAAACAGTTTCTAACCAACTAACTGCCAAACAGAAAAGTTAGATTTATGGAAAATTAGTTTCTAAATTATAATAGCTGATCATGAATTTTAAAACTATTGCATGGAACCAAATTAAATGTATAATTGCAATAATCATATATGGTTATGAAATAGATTTCAAAGTGAAGTTAATGAAATACTGAAGTAACATTCTGTTAAGATTTGTTATGAACATTGTGGTTTTCCCAAATGTATACTCTCATATGATTTAGAGGATCACATTTTATACTGATTTGGTAAATTGCAAAAGAACTTATAATAAAATAAACATAACATTTACTCTTTAGTTGAATGTCTTAATTTTCCTGCTCAAAAGAGATTATTCCTTTAATTGCTAGGCTTTCTAAAGAACATCTGTTAAACATTTTAACCTGAAATAAATAATTGAAGTCCACTAAACTATCTGTGTGTCATGTTCTTTTTATAGTATATTCTGGAATATTACAGTACTATATGATCTCATGCATTATCATTAAAAATAAGCTATTTTATTTCCATTAGAGAGAGAATATATGTATAATTAATATTTAAACTACAAATTGCTAAAAGGTATAGTTAAACAAATGACCCCAAACCCCTTATCACACATCCTTGCACTGTGTCTTTTCATTGTAAAGAAAAGGAGCTACCTGCCCCTGTCCTACACTCAAACACTTAGCCTACTCTGCTGACAGAATACCACACTTGTGAAATTTAACAATCACTTCCCACTTTAAAGCAGCGCATGAGTATGGGCATATTGAGGCATCACTCAAAGAGGGCAGAGTTAAGGTTACATGGACATACACCTTAGCTCTGTAGTTCCTCATTTTCTAAAGTCTGAGTTTTCTGAACTTGACATTCTGAAAGGGCACAAGCTACTGCTGGGCAACCTTAAGTCTGCATTAATGAAGGTATTACCATTTAATTTCCTTGTTTTTTAAACAGAAAAGGAAATGTTTGTTCGTAGGAGTTAGTGCTCATTTAGACATTTATAATTCTCACCTTGGTTTGCAGCTGATATGCTACTGTGGTTAGGTAATAATCAAAAGACCTAGCTTTTATATAGTGCTTTTCATCAGTAGATCTCAAAGAATGTTACAGATGGGAAACTGAGGCATAGCAAGTCACCCAAGGTCACCCAGCAAGCCAGAGGCAGAGGTAAGAATAGTTCCAGACCAGAGGTGTTCGGGCCGGGGCCAGGCCGGCGCCCCGGGGACCGAGCCAGGGCCGGGGGTGCTCGGCCGGAACTGGGGCCGCTGTCCCGGGGCCCGTGCTGGGCTGGAGCCGGAGCCAGAGCTGCCGGGGCCGCTCGGCCAGGGCCGGACTGGGCTGCGCTGTACCGCGCCTCCCAGGAGCCCTCCTCACACCCCCCTTACCTGTTGCTGCCGCCGCCTGCCCCTTTTCAGACTTCCCGCAAACATCTGATTCGCGGGAAGCAGGGGAGGGGGAGGAACAGGGGGCGGAGCATTCAGGGGAGGAAAGGAGGGGGAAGTGAGCTGGGGGCGGAGTGGACAGCTGCGGAGCCCTCTTAGGCGCGGGGCCCAATTCAGCCGAATCGGCTGAATCGGCTTAAAGCCGGCCCTGCTCCCAACATTTTCAGCTCGCCCTCCCCTTCCCATTAAGCCATTAGTGGCCACTGTAGCAGCCATTAACATGTAAGATGTTGCTCCTTGCTGTTTCCTACCTTCTGCTGCTGTGTACACAACACAGCCAGCAGCTTACTGGAGGGCTACACACACGTTATCTTGGTTATGTAGCCTGAGTGGCACCCTGAGCTGGACCCCTCACTCCCAATACTCACCTGCAGCTGCAACTCCTGCCCCTGCTTCAACCAGGCTTCCTCACCCATGCCCCAGGCTCACCCAGTTCACCCCTTTTAAACCAGGCCCCTGACCCACACACACTATGGCCAGTCCTGCCCCCTCACCTCCTTGGGGTGTTTGTACTTTAACTATTGGTTTTTTGGACTGCAGATGTTTAAATTTGCATTACCTTCAGCCCTCCCCCAGATCCCAGCTCACATGGAGAGAGGCTCAGACACCCCAGAAGGAGCCACGTCCCCCAGATTACAGGACACACAATGGTCAGGGAAAAGAGATCTGTGTAAACTCAAAAGCATGCCTCTCTCACCAACAGAAGTTGGTCCAATGAAAGATATTACCTCACCCATCTGGTATCTATAGTAACTTTACCTAATTACAAATGACACTTGAAAAGACAAGTATGCAAGCATTTTAATTGTGGGGGAATTATGCGCCCCAAAATTAAAAATTCTGAGCACAATATTTTAAAATTCTGCAAAATTCTGCACATTTTAGTTGTCAAAGTAATACAATATAATCATACCAGTTTCAATTATTTTGGTAATGTATTTCAAAATATCTGTCAGTGGGTATGTCTGTAGTAATACAGACAACAAAAGAAGATTCAGGAAATGTTTTTTGACAAATAGGTTCCTTACTAGGCATATTAATTCAGAACTCTGAATAATAATTCATTTAAATTACAATACAGAAATGTATTTCCTGCACCCCTCAGAAGCACTGCAAGGGCTTGGGGGAGTCAGGGGTAATGGAGGAGTTGAGGGTGAGGGAAGTAATTGCTGGGAAGGAGCTTGGGAGTGAACCTGGAGGATTGGTGGGTGTGAGTGGTAGAAGTATGGAACAGTTGTTTTTCTTGGGGGGGCGGGGGAAGAGGCATTGTTAGGGAGTTGGGGAACCTTCATGCACACTCTGGCTGATCCCTAGCCTCTCCCATTTAGTCAGGCACATTTGCCCAGGCCCCCCATGTGTCCCTGTAATCCCATTCAGCCACCCCTCCTCCCCCATCCCCATGCACCCTGACTCCCATTTAGCCCATACTAATCTGTCCCCCAAACTAGCCCTTCTGAACCCATCTATGTGACCCATGAGCAGCCCCTTGTGCCCCCCCCCCCCACATCCTGTGCCTCTCACCTGGCCCCGCAGGCAAGGCACTATGAGGAACACAGCTTCTCCAGGGCTGACTGCCTTCTGTTCTGGCACCACAGCAGCCCATGGTGGGCAAAAGGCGTAACTGCAGCACCTCTCTGGCAGTGTGCAGTGGCACAGAATTCCAGGAGTAGCATTTCCTCTTTTCCCTCATGGTATGAAAGGGAGGACTAGAAAATGCCTAATTAGACAAAGATTTAGTTTCACCACTTGCTATTTATTTTATAACTTGAGAGTCCATAAGCTGGAAAGAGTATGCACACTTCTACAACATTCATTCTCTCTCTTTCTTATTTACCCCTTTTCCTTATGCTCTTTTCACTTTCACGTGATTTTAAGATTTCACATGAATCATAGGGTTTGAAAGGACTGCAAGGTCATCTAGTCTAACTCCCTGCCAAAATGCAGGATTTGTTGTTCTAAATCATTCCAGACAGATGCTAGCCTTCTTTTGAAAATCTCCACAACCTTCCTAGGTAGTCTGTTCCATTGTCCTATTGTTCTTACAGTTAGGAAGTCTTTCCTGCTATCTTTTTGTCTCTTTTTGGTGGCTCCTTGATGAAGAAGAATTCAAAATGGGGACAGACTATTTATAAAATAGTCCATTGCTGTGTTAATTAGAGGGTATTATACAGGTCTGTTTGTGAAAGCAATCAATTGGGGTTAGCTACAGAAAACCTAGACTGCTAATCTTCTAAATAGATTTAATTTACCTTTTTCCTCAGTATACATACCTTTGTAAAAATTAATATAAATCTAAAGTATTGTATTTTAACATTTTCAGTGTAGTGGGCTATAATATTCACCACTCCTCCTCATGTAAAACAGCGCAACAATTGTGAAACAGAAAGTATCTAATACCAGTAACAAACAAACCTCAAAACAAGCATATACAAAAATCTATTTTCCATGACTGGGTTAAAGCGAATAGCAATGGTTCTGCCACCAACGGCTGCATTTTAAAAAATGCAACACACAGTCCCATTTATATCTTTTGATTTTTACTGAAATATCTTTAATCAAAGCCGTAAGTGGAAGCTTTGTTAGACAAAAATTTAGAAGACTCCATTTTTAGCCCAAAGCTCTGACTGTGCACAAAAGAATGCACATGTAAAAGTGGGTGTGCAGTTTTGTATGCGTAAATTTGATCTAGGGCAGAGGTGGCCAACCTGTGGCTCCGGAGTAGGGTGACCAGACAGTAAGTGTGAAAAATCAGGACGGTGGTGGGGGTAATAGGTGCCTATTTAACAGTGGTCGACAACGTTCGGCACGCGGCTCGCCAGGGTAAGCACCCTGGCGGGCCGGGCCAGTTTTATTTACCTGCTGACGCGACAGGTTCGGCCGATCGCGGCCCCCACTGGCCGCGGTTCGCCGTCCCGGGCCAATGGGGGCGGCGAGAA